TTTTAATTTTTGAAGTCAGAGCATGCAATATGATCGTCTACTACTGCAATTAATTGCAATGCATCACCGAAATGTGAAGCAGTATAATTTTTTCTTTGAATTTTTTTTTTTATTTTCCTACAAATATTAATTGTTTTGGCAATATTTTTGTTGCATTTCTTTTCTGTTTTTAATTAGGATTTAAAAAAATTTTCTTTTTTTTTTTTTTTAATTTGAGTCTATATGCATCAGTTAAATGCAATTTGCTAGAACGGAGTAAAAACAGAACTTCAAATAGCTTCAGTTTTATATCTTCTTCAGTTTGCTATCTTCTTCGTTCGTTTAAATTGCAACTTTCTTTATTCTACATGTATTTTTACATCCCAAATAACTCCCTTTTCCAGTTATTACGAAAAAAAAAAATTAAAAAAGAATTTTTTTTTTTTAAAGCTGAAAACTATAATTTTTTTTCTTCGAGTTTTTCAGTTTTATTGAAAACATTTCCTATTTTTTTTTTTATTAATTTGAAGAATACGTTAACCATGATCATCATTCCTATATATACTGCTTATAACGAAGCAATAAATTAACAAATAGTTGTAGAGAACATCAAAGAAAGAATTTTGTTGTCAAAGATTGAAATAGCTACTACAGTTCTGAAAAATGAAAAAAAAAAATTATTTATTTTTTCTTTTCGTCTTCAAATTTTTTATAGTTTTTACATGAAAAGGAAACATTTGGAATTTTTTTGCTCTCCACCTTTTCTCTAAAAATTTGATGTAATGTAAAGGGTTTTCATTTTTGTTTGTATAGGAAGTATTCATTGGAATTTTCGGTTTTTTTTCACCGATTTTTCTAAAAAATTTGATAGAAGTTTTACAACAATTTTAAAGTATTTGAGGGAAGTCTATAACATCAATAGTTTCTTTATTCACACAATTGTTTAATTTATATTAGTATAGATAATTTAATTTAGTTATTTGAAAATATTGAAAATTTTTAATAGGTAAAAATTGTCTTTAAGTTTTTAAATTTAATTTTTCATTTGAAAATTATATGGAATATTTTTGGAATTCGATATTTCCAAAATTGTAGTTATATTGATACCAAAATTTGCTTTTACAAATAATGCTTCCTATCGGATCGTATTCCAATAGATTTGATAGTTTGTAATTGAATTTTTATTATTAACAACACTATAAATGTTAAAGAGTATGTTCTTTGTGCTTTGTAAAATTTCTCCTGAATTAAAATTTTTCTTAAAATTCTTTAATTATTCTTAGACTATCTTACTAACGTAACTTGATCATCGTCTTAAAGACAAAAAATTTTTTAAATTTTCAAATAAACAAAAGCAAAGTTCTTCTTTTATGTTATGCTTACCAAAACAATAAAATAATTTTATATGTAAAATTTTCGCACAAAAATTTTTAATGAAATTTTCTAAAAAATAGCAATAAATATTATTTAATTTGAATATTAAATTTTGTTAAAGCATTTCAATTGCTTTATTTAGTATTTTGCATCAACGTTCTCCAAACTCTTAATTTTCGCACGAAAATTTTCATTTTACAGCTTTCAATTCGTTCAATCTTTGAAAATTTCACAGTAAATGAAAATCAAAAAGAGTTCTTCTTAATCTAAAATATTTAAAACCATTTGCAAGAAATTTCAGAAAATTCTTTTCATCGTAGTAAGATGCAATTGAAATATTTTACAGGAACGAACTACAAAACTCCATGAATTAAAAGGAAGGAAAAAATACTGATCTTTAAAGACTATAATTTATCCTAGTCAAACAAGTTTTAACTAAAAAAAAATTTTTTTAAACCCTAATACATTATTTAATTTATCTATAATGAAGAGTATAAGTTCATTCATCTTCAATAATGAGAAATTGTTAACTGCGAATGAAAAACAGTTCACATATTTCTTACATACAACAAATTATTGATTGAAACTAATAAAGTTGGGTCAAACCAATGGTTTGTATTGTAGCACTTTTCCCTTCAACAAGTGAAAATACTACTTTTAAAAACAATCTATGTATATCCACCAAACTATTAAAATTATTTTCATTCATAAACGAAACTATTTCTAGGATTGCATATATTTAGGATGAACGATTTATGCAGTCTTTGAAATAGATAAAAATTAATATAAAGAGGGGTTAACATAAAGCTCGATTTTAAGGGTTAATTGTGTGATTTAAGGAAAATAATTATATTTTTTAATGTCATGGAATTTACCGCTAGCTTTTTGCGTTTATAGAAATTTGAAAAAGCTTGCGGTTTCGGAAATATAAGGTGTCAAAAATTCAAATTTTACGAATTTCAAGAGGCGATAACTTGAGAGGGGGTGGAGATGGAAAAAAATTTTCTTCTAACGAAATGAACTATTTGTTAATGTCTAAAAGCCCCTTAAATTTCAAGCTTCTGCAGGCTGGGGTATAGGAGAAAAACGACATCAAAAATTTGGAAAAAAAGGACTTTAGATAACGGTAAATTTGAACGGCCATTTTGTTTTTCTAAAGTAGTATACCGCGCTAGGGAAAGCAAGCCGCTGCCTTTCTGCGTTTGCAAAATTTCAAAAATGCTTATGGTTTCTTGAAACAAATAGTTAAAATGGGCCATTTTTGTGGCTTTGGGGGGGTATAACTTCTATAGGGGGGGAGGTAGGTAAAAATTTTGTTCTACGAAAATAAGTTTCTAGTAAAGATTTATGCACGTATTAAATTTCAGCTTTCTATCTTTAAGAATGTAGAAGTTTTGTAAACAGACACACTGACAGACGGACGGACGGACGGACGGACAGAGTGAAACTAATAAGCACTTTTTTTCAAAAAATTTTTGGAAAAGTGCTAAAAAAGAATTCAATTGAAATTTTAAAATGACTTCTTAATATTAAATTATAATATGAATTTCAATAAAATATTTTTATATACGCTTAGAAAAGTAAAAGAAGAATAAAGAAGTCAAAAAATTATTAAAACAAAAAAAAAAAATAAAAAAATGTTGACTAAACTAAAATTCATTGAAAAGCAACTTTTATAAAATATCATTCCCCTAAAGGGATTAGTAAACTTATAAAAATGAAGAAAGAAAAAAATACAAAATGATGCACTGTGCTTATTCTTCCAGAAAAATATCAGTTTCTTATATAGTTTGTATGTATGTATATGCATTTATTATAAAGCATTTCATATCATCTATATATAGATGGATTATGTATACAAGTATGTATATGCGTATGCATGTACAAAAATAAAGAATAATATTACAAAAAGATGTTTTCTTAGAAATCAGCATAATGTCAACAAGATAAACATAATAAAAATTGCATAATATTAAACGGTTTCAGTCATTTTTTATATTCTTACATAAATTTTTTTAATGTCTGTTCCGTCAATTTAATTTTATTAACACTATACCAATATCCTTTAAGAATCCTAAGAAGCAATGATTAAGGGGAATGGACACACGTATTATCGATTTTATATAAAAACAAGTTGAACTATCCTGTTATAAACAGCTTTAATGATTATAAATTAGATCTTCATCTTGTGTCAGCAATTAATCTAATTTAAATTTACAATACCTGTTCACTATGAATATAATATAAAATATTACGTATGAAAATTTTTTTATTTTTTACAACCACTACATTTTTTGAGAGAATTTTTTTATAAAATCTCATGATTGCTGTACACTCACATATACTCATATATAATGTTATAAATTATTATAAAAATTAAAAACAATAAATTTTCTCTGGAATTTGGAATCAGTCATCAATCGTACTAGCTATTTATTTTAGAATTAAGATTTTATATAATTAATAATTTCGGCCGGCATTTTAACTAATAATTCCAATAACAATTTTTTTAGAAAATAAATAAACTTATTAATCTTAATGGAAATTTCTTCATGCAACTGCAGAACAGATGGATGACGTAATCAAAGGAACGAGTTAAAGGCAGAAAAATTCATTAAAAAAATTTTTCTCCTCGAACTGGACTCGAACCAGTGACCTACCGCTTTCTAGGCGGACGCTCTACCAACTGAGCTACAGAGGCATGAAGAAATTGCCGACGAAATGTTCTCTACATTGCTTATACTGTAATTCACATGATTACTAAGTATTTGTTTTTGTTTACATTGATTGCTACATACAATTGTCCACTATATCCCATAGTATATTGAAATTTTCAAATTTATTTAAAAAAATTTAAACAAATTTTGCAATTTCACTTACGGCATAATATTTTTGCCATATTTTAAAGGATGACGATGCAAATGCAATAAATTTTTCCAAAACATTTTATGTGAAAACAAAAATCAAAAAAAAAAATGTAAAATTAAAAAAAATTGGAAAAAAAAATAAAACATTTCTTTAATCTTCTTCTTCTGAGACATCAATAAGCAGAAAAATATTTTCTCTCTACTTATCAGTTAAAGAAAAAATATACGAAAGAAAACATTTTTCAATCATCTCAAAGGAAAGCTTTTAACCTATAATGTTGATGTATGGAAAGAAAAAAAAAATTAAAACTCGGTTTCTTATGCAGCATTGAATTGTAAAACAACTAAAAAATAAGAAAACAAAACGAAAAAAAAAAATAAAATTCCTTTTTAAAGAAAATTATAAAACATTTAAAAATTTTATTTTTGACAGCTTTTTCTTTTACGTTTTACGTACAAAATTGTTGGCTTATAAGACGTTTTCATGTATGTTTGTATGTATGTAATTTGTATGAAGGTCCTTTGATAAAGAATCTTTGAATATAAGAGAAATAATTATAATTTATCTCTTTTACAACAACGACAACAATATCAAAAAAAAAAACCGAATTTCTTTTTATTAAAAGAAAATTTTAGAAGGTCGTAAACGCTATGTATGACGTGCACGTATGTCAACTTTCAATCATTTTAAAAATAATTTTATGCAGGTGGGTGGATACCTATATATGTATATATCCATTTTATTTATGCAACTGTATTTATATCTATAGAAATACTTACATTGAACATCTAATAGAATTGATGCATTTAATCGACTTTTCAATGTTGGATGTTCCATAACACATAATATTCTGGCATTATGATGTGCTCTATAAACTGCTGGTAATCTTGCTTCACTTTTTGCCCCGCTATTCATTTTGTATGGTTCTGCATCCTATAAGAAAATTAATTAAAAATTAAATAAGAATTAATTATTTTATATTTGATTGTAATGAAAAAATTTTTTAAATTTCATTTATGTTTAAGTGAAATTGAGATGAATGTTTAAAAAATACTTTAAGATTTAAAAATATTATTTTTTAAAATTTTGTTTAGTTACCGTCTTAAAATTGTTTATAAAAAGTGGTGTAGAAAACCAAATTTGAAAACCGAACAAAAATCAAATTATTCATTCAGAATCAGGACTTAAATTTAATTTTAAATATTTTTAAACTAGATTTGCGGATTGATTTATTTAAAGTTTCTAATGTTGGCTTCGGCAATTTTGTCTAATTTCCCTTATAGTTCAGCACGTGTATCAAATATAAATTTTTGTTGCATTCCGTTTTGTTGCATTCGTAACTGAGGGGGACTCTCTCGCCCATGTACGCCAATCACTACACCAACAAAAAGACCTGACATAACCCTCAAATTAACACCCCAAAACCTCCACGTAATATAATCCCCAATCATCTAAGCCAATCAAATAAGCCATCTACCGGAACCGATTAATCGCCTTGATGAATCTCAAAGTCCACCTCAAAAAATTCGCCCGACAGGTCCTGCCAGCCATCATAAAAAGCCTCAGGATGAGCTTCTTTTTCCACATCAGGAACGAACAAGCACAAAGAACATGTTTCACATCTTCCACCTCCGCAATATCTTCACATTCCCGCCAGACGTCTTTTAGAGTATGCAAAACTATTTCAACCAAAATGTCGCTATTCCATATATGCGCAATATACAATGCATGCCTACTTATGTTATGCACATAAATTATTATCATTATTACGTTATGTATTATAAAAATAAAATGATATTATAAAATATATTCTATGAAATTTATCACACCAAAAACCAACCATAATTGAAACTAATAATTTTTTTTGAATTCCATTTAATGAAAATAATGATCTTTTTGTATGAGTATACTATAAAATGCACTCATCTCTCATATCTTTTGTATAAACTAAACAAAAACCATAGTATACAATGGTATACATAATAGTGTGCATATAATTTAAAATACAAAACAAAAAACCTGTGGTCTCAAGAAAAAAACTCTTAATATGAAAAATTATATTCCGAGTTAATTGTTTAGTATTTCTGCTTGTTTCAAGAAAAAAAAATAATTTTTTTATATTATTTAAGATTTTAGAACTTAAGTACGAAATGGTAATGAAATTTACACTGCAATGAAAAATTTTCAAATTTTAATTTTGATTTTAAGATTAATTGCAGAATTAATTTGAAAAAAATGAATGAAGCTTTACTTTATGATTTCGAAAAATAGTTACTAATTCCAGATTTTTCTATATATAACATCAAAGCAAATCGTGGTGATGCAACTAGTTTAACCAGAACACAGACTGAACAATAAAAAATTTCAATATGAAATAAATTCAAAAATCTGGATTTAGTATTTTTTGTTTATTTTGCTTGCTACCACAGAAATATCCATTATAATTTCAATATAACAATAATTATACTTGAAAATATTATTTGATTTTATAATTTTTATATGAACATCTGTAATACATCATAGTTAAAATAGAATACTGGGACCAATTATATAGATATTTAAAACCCATTACACTCGAGACTCTCATAGGTACAAAATAATATTAATGATAAAGCAAAAACTTTTGACTTAATCATTCAACACCTTATCATTATATTGATATTGTTGGTTCCTAACTACTAACCATAACTATATTATGCTACTGTATTGAAAAAATAAAAACTTACATACTTATATTCATATATGAATAGTGTATAATATAAGTATGTATGAATTACAAAAACAAATAAATAATGTATTTGAATTCACAGTATGTTCAAAAAAATTGTACGGGGAAGAAATTAAAAAAAAATTAATAAAATGGCTTTTAAATAAATAAATAAAGTTATACAACTAGTGAACATCGATTATGCGAAAGCAATGCGGTTTCTCGCTTGTGGTTTACATGTTTCGGTAATCCACGGGTATACTCTATGTATGGTTATCAGCTTGACGTAAATGTAGCACTGCGATTTATCAAGTATTGTAGGTCTATAGGTATAACTGTATCGTGTAGTAAAGCCTAAAGTAAGAAGTCTATAAGAGCCCCTGTCCGAGTAAAAAATTAAAAGAAAGAGCACGTTTCATCTAATAGAGAATTTTTTTATCTCACTTCTATAGGTTATATATACCATTTTCAGCTTTTAACGTACTGTAACCGTAAATGCATATTCATATATTAAAATAAGAATTAAATTTTATGAAAACAATTTTGCCAGAGCAATCGCATTCTTTTATACATATTTACATGGTAAATATTAAACACAAATATGAATCAGAAATCCTATCATTGCATTTTACATACATATTTATGGTCAACAACAAAAGATTTTTCATACTACTTGTATAAATAAAAACAACAATATTCTTTTTGCTATTGTAATAAAATAAAGAAACCTCAAAGGTATACAACACTACTGGTCATTTTGTGGTTAATGAAAATGACACAAAAATTTTTCCTTTTTATCTCACAATTTTGTTATTTTTTTTTTTTTTTGCTGAAAATTTCATTATTTAACATTACATAATAATGTGAAATAAATTGTAAAAATTTTGAAATAATTCCAAAAATATATTTTACAAAATATTATGCATATTTATAATGCATTGTATACAAGGATAATATGTTTGATTTGGCCATTTTTATTTAAAAAAAAAAGGATATTAATAGGTCAATTGTGTTTTTTTTTTTTTTCAATTTTTTTAACAATAATTTTCATTTGGATATGTGAAAATGTTTTAGTTGTTTAACATCTAAAAAATAAATTTCCTAAATGGACCAAATTTTGGAGGACATAACAATTTTTCCTCATATAATTTAAAATTATTTATATTGCTATTGTATGTATGTATAAAATTATTATTGTATTGTGTTAAATACTTGTGCAAATTTAATCATTATTGATGTTGATTTTAAAATTGTAAATAATATTTTCGACTAACAAAAGAGGTTTTTGTTGAATAGAAATTGGTTTGTTTGCAATAACTAGATACTGAACTTTTTAATGACAATGAAAATTGAGTTATTGTAGGGGTGAGTAGTACAGGTAAAAGCTATTTGAACAGGGCTTCACGATTTTATCAAAATTTTGATTTTGTAATTTGCTACGTTCTTCGAATTTATCGTACAAATAAAAACTTATAAGATTTCTCTAAATATTTTTTGTAAATACAATGGTAATCTTAATATTTGGTTGTGACATCCTACAATTCTATAAGCATTTTAACATAATGAATTTTAGTTTAAATTATGAATTTCATGATGTTTTATTTAAAATAACAATTTAAATTATTTTGCAGAACAGTCTCTTCAAATTATTAGTATATGTAAGTAAATTATATTAAAAAATAATAAATATATGTTTGTATATTTTTACCTTATCTAATTTGATTTCCTCTAGTTCTAATACCTCAGCGGCAACTTTTTGTGCATGTCTATCAACACCAGGACTTAATAAAACTTCCCATGTTAATGTTGGTTTTGGATTACCACCTTCACTTACACATGCTAAACTTAATTCGGAATTTTCTTTAACAGGTACAAAAATATTCCCAGCATCTAAACGACGTGAATCTATTAACAAGTAGGGAGGTTTTGGACGGTCTGAAAATTATATAAAAAGAAATAACATATATAGAAAATGTAATTTTAAGTATTCGAGAATTTTAAAAGAAAAAGTAATGGCATTCAAATTGTAAACATTTAGATTAAATTGTCGTTTTGTCAAAAATTTTTTATCATTTCGAAATTATTAGTAAATTTTAACCCCAAGTAGATTATAGAATTTTCATTGTTGAGAATTTAAATGCATTTCCTGACTAAATTATAAAAGACATAAAAAAAATTTAGAAATTTTCTTGATGACTTGCAAAAAAATTTTTTGCGAAAAATTTTGAAAAAAAACTTGTAAAGCGTTTTCTGCCCAAAACCGGAAGGGTTTGTTCAACCTTGGACATTCTCGTGTTCTGCAAATTTTCCGTGACTATACAAATTTTTTTGAAAAACATTAATCGTATTCTTACACTAAAAGAGATCAGAGCGATTCTGAATGTTGTTCGTAATTACTAGAAAAAATAAAATGTCCGAAAAATTTTCTCAAATCATCGAATCACAAAATTTTTAAAGAAATTTGAAATATACTTAAAATTAAATTTTGTCATGAATAAACTCAAAACCTAATTAGGTTATTAAGTTCGAATAAAAATCTTAACACGAATGGGTAGTCACAATTAAATTTATGATTTACATAAGGTTTTCTTTTGAATAATATATTATGCACACATGTTGAAATAACTCTTATATAATGTATACATCTACAGATAAAATTATATTTTCTATTATTCATAATAACTTACCTAATACTACTAATTTAACGGGACGTGCATTTTCTTTTAAATTTCGATCATTCCATGCTTCACATTCCCATTTACCATTATCTTCCAACATTACATTATTTATGGTTAAAACACCATTTGATTCCCTTATGAAACGATAATCAGTAACTCTACTAGTTCGATCCATGACGGAAATTTGCTGTAATATAAAAAAGACATTATAAAATTAAACATTAAATGCATGTAATTGAAGTGAAAAAAAATTGTTTTTTTTTTAGTTTTAATAGCTTAACCAAATTCAACTATACATAGATCAAAAATATTATTACAAAATCAATATTTGTACTATAATTTTAATATGGAGGAAGGTCAAAACAGTAAGTTACTTTGAAATATTCATGAGACATTAAATTTCCACATAAAAATATTACTTGAATTCAATTCGCCTCGAATTGATTTATTAAAAATTAGTTTATGGGCATTTTTGTATTGTGGTTCTCATTCAAAGTTTCGAACTTCCTGTCAAGATGAGTATTAATTCAACTATGGAAATAAAGGATTTAGTAGCAAAAAAAAAATCGATTTTAACTGCAACTCTTAGAGATACACATTCTGAATGAGCTTGATTTTAGTCTTATATTCAAGAATAGTTCTTACATTGCAGTTCAAACGTAATTTTGTTAATTGGCTATAAGTAAGTGATTGACCTACTTTATAATATATAACCATTGCAGAAAAATGGTATAAATTTTTGATTTTAGACACATAAGATGCTCATCCACGAGAAGTGCATCTGTTAACTCATTTATCATAGCTAATGCGCTTCCTTTAGATATATTTTCGTTATGCTGCACATTCCTTCACGCTAGCATCATTTTTCTTAATCATTTAAGAAAATCCAATAACTTTTTGAACGTACAACGTAATTTAATACACAAGAACACATGAAGTTGTAGGTGCATTAATGTTTCATAATATAAAAAGCAATTAAGCTATACAACATAGTTCAAAAAAATGATAGAAAATAGGATAAAAGGATTCTCTGCTTTTTAGCTTGTTTTCTTTTTTCTATATCAGACATACATGACAGTTTATTAGAATTAAGTCCACATATATATACATACATACATGCATAAGTAAATATATCGGTACATAAACACTTAAATATAGAACTTAATTATCGGACCTTATCAGCACTGACTCTATCATAATACAATCTAGTAAGTAGAAATTTCTTCATGCATTATACAGGATAAAAAATTAAAATATCCTTTTATAGTTTTCTTGCAAAATGTAATGCCATAAATGTATGGATGTAAAAATCTTTATATATAGTATATGTAATTATCCTTTTAGAGAAATTATAACAGTTTTTGAATTCAGTTTTCCATTTGATCTGTAACAAAGAATAATTAGGCAAAAACTGTGAGATAAAAACATCAATATTTTTCCAACATTTTTGTTTTCATCTTACCAAGATATTTTTCAAAAAAGAACGAAAAACAAAAAATAAAATAAATGAAGCCAATCACACATCAATGATTTAATTGTCAATTTTTGACATTTTAATAAGAAACAATGAATAAAACAGCATCATAAGAAAAAATCAAAAAAAAAAAAAAACAGAAACGAAATTAAATCAAATTGTGTTAGGAGAGAAAAAAAATTCAAATCAAAGAAATTCCTTTATTTTTTTTTGTCCTTTATTATTGTTTTATTATTGGCTTTTTTTTTCTCTTTTACGAAAGGATCCTTTGTTTTAATTCAAATTTTTTTGTACTTTTTTCTTTATAAGAATAAAAAATAAAATTGACACGCTATTGAACAACTCAATTAAAAATGTATGTGATTCCCTTTTGTTTTTTTTTCTATCTTATTTTTGTGTGTCTTTGGGGCGGTGGGGTGAACAAAACAAAAAAGGATAATTGAGTTCAATTGTAACACTTTATTTTGTGTAAACATACCGTATATTCAGAATGTTGATTATAAAGTCATTAAAAAAAGAGATCCTTTTTTCCAACTGTACCACACATAAGAGTATAAATTGGGAAAAAAAATGAAAACAATACAAAAGTTGTGTTGTTATCAACGCACAAACATTGTGCAAATTACAAAAATATGGGAAAAAGTACGTGCGTGTATTATTGCGTGATTTGAATGAATCCTTTTGGTTTTTTTTTTTTTTGGTAGAAAAATTGCAGTATATAAAATGAGGATTTTTGAATATGAGAAAAAAAAGAAAGTATGAAAGTGTAGATTTTATGTATTTTCAAAGCTACTTTTATAAAATCAAAACTTAATTTACCAACTCTAATTTTAATTTGTATATTAGCAGAAATATTGATTGAATTTAAAACTATTATATTTCTTAAGATATAACAGGTTCTTAAGGCGTAAGTATTTTGATTTAGTTAAAACAACATATTAATTTAGTATTTGGATTACAAACTGATAGAAAACTTTTCTAAAATAAAAAATGGAAAACTTGGATAAATCGAAGAAGTCTAGCGTTTTGTAAATTTTATTATACAATTTTCGTTATTTACATCAATACATATTTTATAAATGTCTGTTTGATTTCTTAAATCAGTTCACACACCTTGCATATAACACCCAATAAATACGTTTTTACTTCCTATATAAATGTAAATTAATCAATTGGAAAGCTAATAGTTTTGCCCAAAGGGGACCGGCAACTCCTTTCATTCGAAAAATTTGATTTTGTACTTCATATCTATATTGACTGTTTATCAAAAATTCTAGTTTGAAGTCATCTTGACGTATAAAAGCTCTTTTACCGAATAAATGAAATTGATGCTAGTCTACATTTTTGTACAGTTGTTCGCATTCACACAAAAGAATTCCGAAACATTAAATAATTATCTGATGTAATTGTAATTTAAAAATCATTAGGAAAATATTTTTCCACAAAAACATGAAAATTATTGAAATTTTCAGGTTAGTAAATTCTGTTTTGGGCACAAAAATTTTAGAAGCAGTAAAAATTTTATAAAAATATAAATTAATTTCGGAAAAAATTTAAATTCTGCTAATAACATTCTTATTCTTGTTATGCAATCGATTTATAGCTTATACTGCAATAAAAATATAATAAGTTTGTTATTGTAGATAAAAGCTGGTACACGCTATTGTTATTAAGAAAACTTTTAAGACTACTACACATGACACATTTGTAGTGTATGTATATAAATTGTAAAAGTTGTAATGGTCATAATCACTCCCGGTTGTTGTATGAGCTTTTAAACAAAATTACTTAAACATAAAAAATATTGCATTAAGCATGCTGCTATTTACAATGCAATATTCAACAAAAATGTTGTTATATTCAGAAACAGTGATTTTACGTTTATTCTTTATACAATACAAATTGTGTATAATATGTATGTATATATTTCATTTATATACTTTTTATTATTTGAAAAGGACATTCTGTCATAGAAAGTTTATATGTTTTTTTTTTTGTCTTTGGAAAACGCTTGTTTCATTGTTTTAATTTTTTTCTAGTTTTATAAAAGTTCATTCAGCTATCATCAAAAAATGTTCATTGATATGTAACACAATGTAATGGGTATGAGAATATGTAAAAAAAAAAATTATTATTTTATATTCTAACAAAATGGAAAGTTAAAACAAAAAAGTAGTAAAAAAAAACTAAAATTGTGCGCTAAAAACAAAGCAAAGTAAAAACGTCCTTTCTGTTTTTTGTTTGGTTGTTTTTTTCTTACAATATTTTTTATTTTGTTCTTTTTAATTGAAAACATTGCTGGAAGGATCATAACGTAATGTAATTCTCGTTCGAAAGAAGAAGAATAAAATTAAAGGGGATAGCAAATTTGTATTGCCTTCTTTTTCACTGTTTTTACTCAGCCATCCCATATTCATATGTGCACCATAATGCACTTGGACTCGTCATGTCCATTTTTATTTTGCCTTTTCAAAAACTTTGCATCAGACATGATGTTTTCTGTTACTTTGAGTTTTTTTTTTATTTTGTGATAATTACAACCTTTTTTATACTTGAAAAAGTGTAAAAGAATTTTGAATCGCTTAATCGCTCTTTTATCATTTGTAACAAAATTTATAGTTATCACTTTATTTTTTACATTATGAAGATATTTGAATGCGCGTATTGAAAAATTTTTGACTGCTATTTTGAGAAACTATTTGAATTTTTATCAAGAGAGCCTAAGTTTAAAACTTACACGTTAAGTGAGTCTTTATATAACAACTTTTTCCCAGTGTATCAATGCCAGTATAGAATTTTAAGACTGCGTTGAAATTATTTTGCTTCAGAAAAAAAAATTTAGATCAATTGCTTGAAAATTGTTACCTATAAATTAATTGTTACCTTATAATTACCTAAATCAAAATGTCTTTGAAAATGTCGAACACAGTTTTGGTAACACATTGTACATTTTTATTGTAAACCCTATTACTCATTATTAAAAATCTATAAGCGAATCCATTTCATTGATAATCAATTACAAAGTGTACCTGCAACGTGGTATAATCTCCCGACGGCTGGAAGGTCAGACAATTTAATGAAAAAATATCATTCCTAGGAGGAGGCGGAGGATCGATAAAAATTTTTATCAAAATCAAAAAATTTCAACTGGGATTTTGGAGGTTAAATAATCACTTGCGCTCCCTTACATCATGATTGATTTTTTCATAAAATTGTCCCGTGTTTCTGCCACAATGTGACAGGTTTATACCATGTTACAGGTTTACAATTGAAATGCTTTATAATTATTTTCACATAACTTTTTTTCGGTAAATTATTTTTATTAATTTTGCAAGATAATCTACATACTTGCATATTTACAATGATAACTTTAGTAAAAATTTGTTTATTTGAATATTCCAATTATTTGAATTTTTCTATAATCAAATTTCTTTAATTATTAACGTTAGGCGGAGGCAATATTGTCATCATTAATCACTGAATATTATTGAGCTGTGTATAATAAATTTATTTAATTTTTGGAAAAATATTTAAATTAATTTTCATTGTTTAAACTGGAAGAATTTATGGATAGAAAAACTGGAAAAATCTTTTGTTCCAATTAAAATTTTTTGCAGATTCATTTTTTTTTTTTTGCTTTATTTTTACGTTGATTGTTATTGTAGTAGGCAATGGATCTTTAATGAATTCTTTATTATAACAATTTCTTTTTT